AAAATTATCAATCCTATGTACCTACTGTTATTGTACCTATTTTATCTATATTATGACGATTTGGTTCAAGAATGTGTACATTTTCACAAGCACATTTCCTCTTATGAAACTACAGAGTCTGCAGTGAAGCCTGGATCAAACTCACTACTGTCTCTCAACGTTTTTAAGGAATCAATCTCTGTCTAATGATTATCCTAACTTGGATATAGCTCTCCACATCGCACTTTCCACTCCGCCTACAAATTGTTCTAGGAAAAGAAGTTTTTCCTGTTTAAAACGCCTGAAAAATTATCAAAGGTCTTCATTGTCTCAAGAAAAAATTAATTCTTTAGCTCTTCTCTACAAAGAAGCAGAGATAATAAACACCATAAACTATGATGATATTATAGATGATTTTGCTATTAAAAATTATAATTCTTGTTTCTTTTTTACGCTCCTTCTTAATGACTAATTCATTCGTTTATTTAACTTTAGTATCTTCCTTACTACAAATGGAAAATTATTATTTTAGAAAGGTACATGGGGCGGTGAAAATAAAGTGGTCTACACTCATAAAAAATATAAATCCGGCACTGCAAATTATCACTTTGTAATAAAATTATTGTTACAGACAACAATATGTTTACTGATATTTCATTAAAATAACATACCTTGGAGAAAAAATAAATGCGCTTATGTAAAGCGTATTGGAAAGTGTTCAATAGCCGATACTGTATTTAAAATGTATGTGAGTGTTAGTAAATTAAACTTATTTTTATAGACTTGGTTTTTAATACTAAGATAAAAACTTTAGGATCCAAAGATTCTAAAGAAATAGTTGAAAAAAACCTATTTTTAATAATTTTAAAAATTTTACCTTTCGTATACTAAAATTTGCAAACTTATCGATGTTTTCTGAATCACATCATTTTAAAAAGTGATTAAGATTTACATTAAAAATAAGAAAATATTTCCGTTTTTATAAATGATTTTATGAAACATATGACAAATTCTATTGATAGAATATTATTATTATTAGAGAGTTATCGCCAAAGTCGCTATCAAATACGGTAACCTTATTTTAACAGCTAAGAAGGCGCATTAATATTATAATAAGAAATAGTGCTAAACAAGAGTACGGTATTTCCTTATTTCTGGAAAATACAGAAACCTTATACTTGGAATAGGGTACCTTATTCGTATATGAACGAAACTATTCAGAATATTCCGTAAATGTCATTCGAGTCAAAGAAAGATGGAGTGTGTTTCTCGCATCAGTCAAATTTTTAAGATAAAAAAAATGTTTTTGATTTTTAAACGCGTAGTAAAACTGTAAAATTTTTAATTTGAATAATAAAACTTGTTTGAAATTTACATGGAAAAATGATTTATACTGATGAGAGGAGTGTTTACTATGATGATTGGTGGGGTTTTCCTTGTTTTCCAAACCTGTAAGTCAAATGGCACCATAATCATAATTATCTGTAAGTCACAGCAAATAATAATAATAGCCGTCCCTTTCCCGGACAAGTTCAGCTTTTGGGGTTAAAATTAACTCGTAAGGGGGTGAATTAGAGAAATAATTTTTATTAATCTGTTTAAAAATTGTAATTAATGGAAAATTAAAAATATATTAAAGACGAAACAGGAAAATAATTCCTCTTGTGAGAAACCATCCAAATATTTTATTATTACAATGGTTAAGATTAGAAAAGGTAATAGTAACCGATCTAAGAATAATAATTTAAGATATTCGATTATTACTTGATTTTTTAACTTATGTTACTTTCCTAAAATACTGTCAAATTCAACTGCTTAAACCGTATAGCATGACATTGGCTCATTGTTGTTTGGATCTTATTCTGAATAAGGTAGGAAATAAGGTTACCGTATTCGTACAACTGGCAATAACTCTCTATTATTAATAATAGTTGACGATGCTACAGTTGCCTTGAATGAACCAGGAATTAAATAAATCTTATCATAAATTTGTTTATTGCTAAGTAATATTTTGTAATTTCAAATGATTCACAATAATTTTACAAATCAAGTTATTTTCCAATTCTCAAAATATCTTGATGAGTGATTTTTTCTAATATAACGTAACTAAGCTTTAAAAAAAAAGAAAAAACAACTCAATCGAGGCCACTACTAAGCAAAGGTGCACTAATAATCCTTAATACTTTATCCTGGAATTCCTGGAATATTAGAATGTTTGCTGGCAAAACCGTGGAGCTAAATCCCACACTGATTTTTAAAGTTTCATAAATTATTTTATCTTATCTGTCAATATACAAAGCGACTAAATCTTTTTTATTTGATTTCTGTTATTAATTTGTTGTTTTTGCGTTTTTATTTTAAACTCTTATTATCCATTTTCTCATCATCTTTTAGATGACCGAAACGTTGGTTTTCTCATATTGAGATTCTCATTTATTTGGCTCCCATTATATCTATTTATTCTTACCAATGTTTGGTATAAATCTTATTGGGTACAGCTTATTTTAGGATATAATCTTTAACTCACTCCTTGCATGGTTTAGAATAGCTTGAGTTGAATTTCATTTCTACTTTTCTTTGTTTTAATGCTGGGATATCTCTTTACTTAATTGGGCATTGGATCGCATAAATTTATAGGTATATGTAGGTCTACTGGTTTTATAATATTATAGTTAGTAATGAAAACCCGGAATGAATTTATAAAATATAAAATGTTTTGTTTAGTTTCCTCTTTTAGCTATAACAAATATACAATTTCATTTATTAAATCCACCCAGATCCCTCTGTATAAGGTGTAGATTTCCAGGCGCCATGGGGCCTTTTTATAGCCTTCCATCGTACAGCTATAGCATAATGGAGATTTATGTAGGTGATTTCTACGTTATTATTCAATAAATTACAGCTCCATATAACGAACGAGGTCCTTAATTAGTGCTAGCTAAAGTTGATACCCTCCAAGGCGCGAACGTCATTGACCGTTTACGGTCACTTGATTGGTTTAATTTGTAGTCGGGAATTTGGTCAAGTTGACAGCTGAATTCCGACCCTTATTTATATTCAATATCAAGTAACCGAAAAATGAAAGACTTTTTTTTTAGTTTGAGTAACAATCGGTGAATTAAATTTATTTTCCTGGTCTGTCATTTGTCATCTGTAAATTATTGTTTTCTTCCAATGTGTATTGTTTTCTAAAAGCTAGCACAAAATCTAACCAAAAAATATTTTTTTGCAATTTTTTGTTTTGAAATTTTCCTACAACAATTCAAAAAAATTCAAGCACATTTTAAACGCGCAAGTTACAGAACATTGACCTGCCGACTCATCACATCCCTCATGGTCAAAGGTTTAGCGAAGCAACCACGGCCGGACAATGTCCACCGATGTTGGCATTTATTTTTAGTATAAATAGATTGCCAATTAATATTATTCTTTAGTCTGATATATATATTTTACTTTGTATTTATATTATAAAATTATTAAAAGTATTTTCAAAAATAAATTTAGTTTTTAAAAAGTGAGTTTGAAAGTCAAAACTAATTGGCGCAGTCAGTAGGATAGTGGAAGAGTCCTTTAGAAGATCCGCGTCGTTTTCAAGCGTTTATCCACTATCCAAATCAAGAACCCACCTCCAAGGGAAATCCAAAGCGAAGTTCACCCTAGGAAGTAAACCAAGATCCCAGGAATGCGATACAGCATCATCTGCATCTTGTAAGCAATATATGTCAGACTCAGACGAAAACTTAGATTTAGACACTCCTACACGAAGTTTTAACTCAAGTGCAGAAGAATTAGACTTACTACGAAAACTTAATTCCTTAAGAGTTTCAAATTCAAACCTAGACGAGACACTAACCAACACCGACGTTTCTACTACCACCAATATGGTTGTACCACCATTCGATGTCAAGAACCTGTGCATCCTCCCAAATTTCTATGGGAATCCAAACGAGCTGTACGAATTTATCAAAGTATCCACCCTACTTCTAAACCATTACTACGATCGAAGCAACTTGGCCAACATCCAGAACCAGTTTTTACTCCATGGGATAACCAGCAAACTAACGGGAAGAGCAAAAGAGATTATATCAATATACGGTTGCGAAAGCTGGGATGACATTAAGAATACACTCATCCAAAACTTTGGGGATCAACGTAATGAAAACAGCCTAACAAGAGATCTAGTAAACATGAGACAAAGTCCAAATGAATCGCCAAATCAGTTTTACGAGAAAATCATGCATATCAAACTACATTGAAGTACATACCCAGAGTCCAGAAATAAAAAGAATCAAACAGGAATTCTTTCGCCAACAAGCCTTAACTACCTTTTTGGCAGGACTTCGAGAACCTATGGGGTCTACAATAAGAGCAATGAGGCCAACCAACCTAACTGCAGCCATTCAATACATTCAGGAAGAAAATAATATTAGGTACGCCCAGAAAAGCTACCATTAGAATAAAACACCTCAAAATGGAAGACTAACCCTCAACGTCCAAACTTCAAGGCAACATATTCCCCAACAACAGCCAGCCTATACACAACCACCACAATTTCAACCTACCCAAGCAGCACCATTACCATGGCAGCAGCAAGTTTTCAAACAACCACAATCTATGGCGACACCAATGATGAGATATAAAAACCCTCAACCTACTTTTGAACTATCATTCTAGAACTACCAAAAACCATTCTTTAATCAGCCAAGAATAGATTTGAGACCGCCAACATTTAAACCATCGCAGCAACAAAACGCTTGGTCATAAGACCTGGCCCATCGGGACAACCCAAACCAATACCTATGAGTATATCAACTACAGCAACCAATAGAAGTCGACCAATGAACCCAATGCCCCAACAATCCCAACCAAAATTTACGTTCGATGAATTTTATAATATCGATCAATATGACGAAAGTCCTTTGGATGCATTTATAAAAAAATGCTTAACGCGTTTCTTTCTGCCATATCTAAACGCCTTTGTTCTTCTGTAGCTGTCCTTTCTTCATATTTTTCCAACCATTTTAAAAGATTGGCTTTGGGACTTGATGTAATTCTCTTTTTGAGGCACCTGCTGTACTTGTTGAAGACCCTGCGGTACTTGTTGAAGTCCCTGCGGTACTTGTTGAAGGCCCTGCGATACTTGTTGGGGGACCTGCAGCCTCTGAATTATCTGAATTAGAGGTAGAGGACATATTTTCTTTATCGTCTGCATATTTCTGGATGAGCATTAAGCTAGAGCAGTGATGCTTTGGTCGGACATTTGGTTTATCAACCATATACTCTTTCATCACCTGAAAATATTGCCAATCCTTCCTATGATTTCCAGATGTATTGTTATGATCAATAATTTCTTTATACTTTGTTCTTAAAGTTTTTATTCTGTTACAATACTGCTCCCATGTGAAATTATATCCACAGTTGTTCATAGATATTGCTATTTTTTGGTAAGTGATTTGTTGCATAATTTTTTTATCCTTTAATTCATCACTGAATTTTTTACACATATTAATTAGTAGCAGTGTTTCACTATAATTCCATTTATTAATTTCTTTAGGGCTTATTTGTTGATCTACTACTGTTGTTGGGTTTGCTGCTTTTTCATGATCCTCCTTATTTGGTTCATCAATTATTTCAACAGTATTATATGCATTAGTTACAAAAATCTCAATTTGTTACATACCTAAATGTAAACAATAAATAAAATAAGCTTACTGTCTTTGTTGAACCAGAAATATTGTCCATTTTCATCCTGTACAATTTCTTCCATTTTTTACAACCTGTATCATTGTCAAAGATCCAAATCCCAATTGAATTATGATTTACGAATTTTACGATGACAAAAAATAATTATAAATATTATAACTCATAACCTTACTAATAAAGTATGTTTGGCGCTTGAGTTTGACATACCAATACCGACCACTTTTTGAAGGGAATCAATCATTCGGTCAAAATTCACCGAATGAGAAGTTTGAGCGGAATGAATCAATCAACACAATAAAACGCTCATCCTGTTCATAATTTCCACACAGGTGGCAAAAGATTGAGCAATAAAACGCTCCAATTATGGCGCGGTAAATGGCGCAAAAATAGTGTTTTAAATAATTGATTTAAAAGTGAACTTTTTAAAGTACTATAACTTTATTATTTATTATCTAGTTAACGTATTTAACGTAAATTCTTTTACATTAAATACTTCTATTGTTGTTGTCTAATGCTTGTTTTGTGGTGACAGTTTTTTAAGTGTTTTATAGAAATTCTACTGTATTATATAATATGCTAAATAGCATTACTAATAGTAAAAGTAATAATTAGTTATGAAGTTGTGTTCCATTTATTTTCTCATTTATTGAGTTTGCGGGAAAATTTTAGTTGGATTCATTTTTGTAATATTGCTGAATGGTTAATGTTCTATTATTCTGCTGAATGATGAAATGATCTATTACCTGTGCTCAGTGACAATTTAAAAAAAAATGTGGCTTTTTCACACTTCTGTACCTACTCGAATAATTTAACAAATCATTCGCGCGGGAATTATATACGGGTATACCTAGTAACTCGTTGCGACGAAGCATGAGCCAGCTATTACTGAACACAAAGTGAAGACGACTCAACACACTTTCTCGCGCGTTCTGTACTCCTGTTCCAAAGTGCACTGATATATTGATTTTTTAAATCAGTATAGAGTTCCTTGATCGTGTTAGGCATTTAAACTTTAAAAAACCGGTATAAAATCGATGAGTGATCCAAGCCATACACGCGCACAATAAATTAATTCTGAAAATAAAAATAAAGCCGCAATGAAAGGATTGAAGATCTTCACTATAACGGATCGATAATGGGTACCGCCGGAATAGTTGTAGTAGTCGGTCGTACCGAAATATTCCACATACCTTCTGAGTTCCTGGTTGTATTTTTTGTACAGAAGCATACCCTTTGAACCCAAAAGGCCTAAACTGTTTATACGTAATGCCTTTTTAGCTTATAAACAAATAACACTTATCTTATGGTAAACGAAGATATCTTTAAGTCATGAGACTTTGTTGTTACAACGAATAAAAATACTGTTTTCTCTGTATGGTCTCCTGAATGTATTTTTACATTATAATGTACTAAATTTGATCAATTTAATTCATAAGCCATGTTTGTTGTTTGTTGATGAAGAATTTGTTTAAATTTAAATGTTCGTTTTTGATTTAAAACGTACTTGGTAATGAATTTTAAATATGCCGAAATTTCTAATGAGATCTACTCGTTTATATGTTATCCTGTTAAAATATATAAATTTGCCTTATATGGTAAATTCTTTAAATTCGTTAGTACGAAAGCATAACTAACTTTAGAAGAAGTAAACGATTTTTCGAATAAATACACTCGCTAATACAAGTAGAACGTGTACAGATATAATTCTAAAGTGTAACCTACTTACTTTTGAATTTTGTTGTTCAGATTGTGAATATTTTTTTTTGTAATCCTGTTCTTTAATTAGGTTTCCCCTGTTGAACAGTGTATTAAATAAATAATTTTCTTAGGCATGTTTTTTTGATACAACACCAATAAAATTTTACTTGTACTTTTTAGAAATACGATATTTGTACAATTTATTAATTTCTAACAAAGCTAAATAGTTTTCATTTCTATTTATTATCACTCGAAGATCCATGTTAACAAAACAGATACACAATAATTATTGTAAAAAACAATTATGTGGGTATATTAAGTTAAACACTACCAATTTGAATTTTTGGAATTATGATTATTGGAGAATTTGTCGTCAATTTCTCGTGAAAAAAGAAAATTTATCGTTTGTTCCCCTTTCTTAATACTTCGATCATCATCTTGTTGATATAGACCCCAGTTAATGCTAATTTTGATGGAAAGTTAGCACCACTAATCACATCTTGTTATGTGGAAAATTTGTCTTATTTTCGTCGTAAATTTGTTGTGAAAAAAATGTCGCGCATCCCTTCTTTGAAATAAACCCTAGTTTATACTATTAAAAAAAAATCCCTAATATGGTTTCATAAATTTAAAGATCTTGCCAAAACAAGAAGAAGCTCTTCAACTACACAAGTGGTGCCTACTGAGCTACGAAAAAGATTAGAATCGAAAATTTTAAGAGTTCGCATTTCAATTACAAGGGCCTTAAAAAAAAGACATTTTAAGCTTTAACAAATCACAAGGACATTTTGCTTCAAAAAGTGAATGTCCTTTTCAAAAAAGGACAGGTGACAACCCTAGTCTCAGGGGACCATGTGCCCTTCTTACCCCCAAGATTAAAATTGTCAGACAGTTGCACTTCTACTAATATTTCAAAACGAATTTTATATTCTGCCTACTATTTACTAGTTTACAGTACATCTGTTGCCGAAGAAATTTCAGCTGTTGCTGACTACATATGCTATTTTCAAAAATATAATTAGAAGATCAGCTCTAGTTTCTGAGCTTTAGCTATGTAGGTATAAAACAGAAAAAAACATGTATTTACTAAGAAAAAATTTACTAAAAAAATAATCATTGAGTTCTAAAAAACTTCGTTTTAAAGCTCTTCTTTTATGTATAGATTTTGGAAAATGACGTATCAGAGACCAACAATAGTCAGACATCATATTCGTGTCCCAGAAACCCTGATGCATACGCTCTCCCTGCTCTTCGCTCATATCTCCTAAATTTTCCGGAAACCTGTCCAGGTGACTATGGAGGAAGTGGAGTTTTATACTCATATTGCACCCCATATTTTGTTAATTGTAGCAGAAGGTCTTCTACAAGTTCAATGTAATTTGCAGATTTTTATTTCCGAGAAAATTCTGCATTACAGAGACAAAAGCTGTCCAAGCCTTTAGTTCTAACTTAGTTATAGAATTTATAAATTAAGTATCTTTCGTAAGTTGTCTAATTTGGGGGACATCAACAATACCTGCTTTAATCTTTTCCATAGTGAGCTAAGGAAATTTTCGGCAAATGTAAGAAAAACAGTTTCCGTCTTTATCTAGTGATTTAACAAACTGTTTCATGATGCCCAGTTTTATATGTAATGGTGGAAGAATAATTTTGTCACGAGCTACTAATGAATTCTGGACTATATTTTGCTTTCCAGGCTTCATATTTTCTCTCAAAGGCCAATTTCTTCTTGCCCAATGCTATTGTTTAGCTCTACTGTCCTAAAGACATATAAAACACGAAAACTTAGTGTAACCACTTTGTTGACCGAGAAGAATGTTCACCATTTTTAAATCAAGACAAATTTGCCACTTATGGTCACTGTATTTAATTCTATTCAAGACTAGCAAAATGTTACAATATTCTTCCTTTAACTTTGTACTGTGGGCAATAGGTACCCCCAACGTATTTATTTCCATTATGTAATAGAATACATTTTAGGCTACGTTTTAGGCTGTTAATGAATAAATGCCAGTCGTTTGGTTCGTATTGTTCCAATCCCATTTTTATTAACAAGTTTTTAATATCTAAACAAAAGGTAATACCGTTTTCTTCGGAAAAATAACGCCGTAATTCTTTATCTCTTTCACGATAAAAACTTATTTTAGTATCTGAGGAAAGCAATTTTTTTCTTTCGGTCTTGGTGCTAACAATTCTGAAGCTTGTTTAGAAAGATTTAAATCTCTTACAAGATCATCTAACTCATTTTGGGAAGAGCATTTTGGCTCATTTGACATACCTACAAAATCAGCGTCATTTTGTGATGAGCTTGGTCCTTCAATGTCTTGTTCAGATATATTTTTAGGCACTGAAGAGTCAGGTGAACGCTGCACTGGACGTTGAACACAACTAGTACTTGGGTACTGCCATTTAGCTCAATTTTTAGTGTTTAAACCGTTTACGTTCACGGTACAAAAATAACAGTCTTCGAGATGATTTCGTGGTTCTCGCCAAATAGTCGGTGTTTTAAATTCAAAAGGCATTTCTTTTACCACTTTTCCATAATCTTAAATATTCCATACACGATTTACAAACACAATTGGGAACCCAAGACTTCTCATTTTTATCCAAGAGCATCCCAAAATACTCAAAATAGGTATTTTTCACCAACTCTTATATAACTTTTCTACAATTGTTAAACTCATATTATCCGCATATATAGCAAAAATGATCTGGATTGTTCAAACAACGTCTCCTTGAACTACTCATGACGGAAACACTTCAGATACTAATCAGTAAAATACGCCTGTTATCGATTAATATACACGCTTAAATGATAAAAATCAAAAACAAAGTAACTCGAGCTGCTCAAAAAATTTTGAGGTTAGATTTGACATAAACAAGTCATAAGTAACTATAATGTTATTAATCAACTATCCTAAACACCAGCACCATTTTTTTATGTTACATAATATTCTCGATTACATTTATAACGAAACGCGTCATTGAATAATCGTAGTTTAACTATTTTAATATACACAAACCAAACATTTCACCTATCTTATCACCAGAAATATTAAAC